GGTGGTGGTGGCGGAAGACGGTGGTGGAAGTGGTGGCAGCAAGTGGGTGGCAGGTGGGTAGTGGTGGTGGTGGTGGTGGTGGCAGTTTAAGCCCAATGAGGGTGGGTGGTGAGTAGTGGTGGCAAGTTGTGGCAGGTGAGTGGTGGTGGCGGGCGGTGAATGGTAGTGGCGGGTGGCGGGTAGATGACAGGTGGGTGGTGGTGGTGGTGGTGGCGAGGGCTGGCTGGTGGTGGCGAGTGGGTGGCGGTGGCGGGTGGTAGTAGGTGGGTGGTGAGTGGTGGTGGTAGGTGGTGGTGGAGGGTGGGGGGTGGTGGCGGAAGACGGTGGTGGAAAATGGTAGTGGGTGGTGGCTAGTGTTGGGTGGTAAAAAAAAAAAAAATTGAAAACTCAAAACGGAAATGCATTTTTTGGCCAAATTTATAAACTGAGACCACTGATTTATAAATAAAAAATTTACCAAACAAGTTTTTATTTGAGTTTTTAAAATTTTTGTAAATATAAACAAAAAACTGAAAACGTAAGTGTTACCAAACGGCACCTTTACTTCTTGCTAAATTATAATTTCTTTAAAATCAGTTCTACAATGACTATTTCAATAATTATTTTAAATTTAGCCCTTAACAAAATTTAATTATAAATAAATTTGGATATTTTTGTTTGAAATTTAAGTCGTAGAATTAGTTTTTTTTTTTAATTGTTCTAGTTTATTATGGAATTAAAGAATATAAAAAATAAAAAAATATTTTAGTGAATGAGACTAGCAAAGGAGCTAACACAAAGTTAGAGATTTGGAGAGAAACACTTAAATTTAAAGGATTTCGAATAAGCAAAACTAAGACAGAATACATAGATTGCAAATTTAATAACAATAATAATGGACGTATAGGAGAAATGAACATTGAGAATCAAGAACTATCTAAGAGTGAATATTTTCGTTATTTAGGGTCGATTATGCGGATGTGGTTCGTAAAATTAATGCGGGGTGACTTAAGTGCAAAAGTGCATCTGGGGTACTGTGCGATAAACGAGTATTAATTAAACTAAAAGGAAAGTTCTATAGAACGGCTATTAGACTAATAATATTTAATGGGATAAAGTGTTGGGTAATCTTGAAACAACATGTAGATAAGATGAGTGTTGTTGAGATGAGGATGCTAAGATGAATGTGTGACAAAACTAAAAAAAGATAAAATTAGGAATGCGGATATTGGGAAATAGATAAGAGTAGCACCGATAGCAGATAAGTTGAAAGAGAATAGATTGAGATGGTTTGGTCATATTTAACGGAGACCAACAGAGGCAGCAGTGAAGAGATGCGATGAGGTGACGGTAGATAGAAAGTGTTAGGGGACGGAATAGACCTAGATTGATGTTGGCTAGCGTAGTAAATAGAGATATGAATCTATTTAATTTGACTAACATAATAATCTTTGATAGAGTCCCGTAAAGAAGAAGAATTCATATAGCCGATCCCATTTGATGGGATTTAAGGCTTAGTTTGGTATTTTATATAAGTCGATTGAACCAAAAAATAAACGACCCAAAAATCTCAAACTTAACCTCATATTTTATACTTGTTCAAAAAAAAAAGCCCTAATATTTTAAGCCAAAATATTTATCTAAAATTCGAAAGGGTAATGCTACGTCGCTCGAAAATGGCCCTCCCGAATCCCCCTAAAGGCAAAAACGACGTCGTTTTTGTCTCTTTTTTTTTTCAGAAGCAGAAATCAGAAGAAAGAGGAAGAAGGAGAAGAGGAGGAGGAGGGGAAGGAGGAAGGAGGAGGAAGAGGAGAAGGAGGACTGGAGGGGCCCCTAACCACAGGGGGAGGAAGAGGCGGAGGCGAGGCCGGAGGCGGAGACGAGGCCGGAGGCAGAGACGGCGGTCGGAGCTGGAGCTGCTGCTGCTACTGTGATGAGCTGGCGGCGAGGCGATAACGGCGGGCGGCGAGGCTCTCAGCCCTCTTCTTCCCCCCTCTCTCTCTCTCTCTCGCTCGCCTCTGTAATTTCGGGGGATTCGGGAGAAAAAAATTAGAGGGACAAATCATTATCCAATCCAAAAAAAAGCCTTCAATCATGCTATTGCTAGTGGCATAAATTGTATATACTCTCGCCGATTAAGGAAAATTATGGCTCCATGAAAAAACATAGGGGTCATCCCTTGATTTAAGAAGGAAATGGTCCTATGACTCTAGTTGTAGTGAAAGCGACCGGTGTTTCGATTTAATTATTATTATAAGTTAAATGGGTCCATCACTTTTATGTTCATCTCCAGTTAAGCGGAGTTCATCGAGCAAGGATCCTCTAGAGTGATTTTTCTCTAAAGTTTCCTAAAGTGCTACAGTGTATGGTTGAGATTTACTGGTAAGTCACATCAATTTTTCTGATGTGACTTGCCAATAAATCTCAACCATACACTGTAGCACTTTAGGAAACTTTAGGGAAATTTCACTCTAGAGGATCTTTGGTGGAGTTCATCCCACCTTGTTTAAGACCTCAAATTTTTTCAAAAGGAATACATTAGTAGGTGTTTGGGAAGTGAATTTTTATGTAGTTTTTTTTAATTGTAGGATATTATTGAAATTTTTTTTTTTTTGTGTTTGGGGAGATAGTTGGGTTTTTTGTGGTTGGATGTGATATTTGTAAGAGAAAAAGTAAAATGATTATGGGGTTAGATGTGATATTTTGTTTGGATGTGTTTTTTTTGATTTTGTAAAAAGTTTGTCTTTTAGTGAAAAAAATAAAAAAAAAAAATCCCAAACCCAAGTTCCCAAAAAATATGAGGAACTAATAAAACACAAATAAAAAATTTTAAACGTACAAAATTTGATTATAGAATTAGACACAACTTCCTTACATAACGTAAGTTCTACCAAGTATTTATAAAGTCTCGTTTGGCAAGTTAACATTTTTGTCAAAAAGTCAAAAAATTAATAAAAAAGTCAAAAAGTCTATAATCTATACCAAGAAAGTTAAAGATTTAGTTTTTTTCTTTACTTTTTACACATCTTTTCATAAAAATCCAAAAAGTCACCCCAAACATACTAATTTTTTTTACTTCATATTTTAATCAAAAAATCAAAAAATTATTAAAATAGCATGTTCCCAAACGGACCTTAGTCTCACCTCACATAAGAATATTATATATTATTCTATAATCGAATTCTGCACCAAAAACAAAAACAAAAAACAAAAAAATTTAACACAATAAAACCAACAAGCGAATGAACGGTCAACTTTCAACTCCGAAGGAGCAAAACACGCTGACCTTACATCCTTTTTTCTTTTTATTTTTTCTCTTTTTATTTTTTTTTATTTTTTTAAAAGTCCTTCCGGAATTGACTCTGTGTCCTCTACAACTCAATTCCTTTCCCTCTTCTCTGACTATTCCATTAATACACACAGCACAACATAAGTCATTCTGTTCTGTTCATTTTCATCCACCCTTCAAAAATAGCTTATTCTCTGCTAATTTTTAGTTTAAGCTTTTCTCCCATTGACCAAAAATCAAAAAACATAAACAAAACAACTTTTTTCCTTTTTCTTTTTGGTTTCTTTTTCTGTGTGTTCTTTCTTCATTTTTTTTTTTGGGGGGGGGGTGTATTGAGTACGATTAACGTAATTGAATCACCTTTTCGAATATCCAAAGAAGCAAAATTTTCCTTTCGAGGTATAATGCTTTTACTTTTTCACCTTAATGTTTATCCTTGCCTGTAATTATTTTCTTTGATTCAAACTTAACAAATAATCTTTGAATGTTGAATGGAAATTGCACTTGTCATCATAATTTTTGTGAAATTATACATGACAAAGTGCCGATCAATTATCATTAGCAGAAGTGGAAATTTTGGTAAAATAGCCATAAATTTTGTGTTTCAAATGTATTTATGTGCGTTATATTCATTGGACATGATCTAATGTGGATACGTGAGAATTAAGTATCTTATGAACACGATAACATGCATGATCTGATAGGAAAAATTACAGAACATAATAAAAAAATAGCTTATGTATGATCTGAACAACGCATACATAATCTATGTTCTTTCTTCTTCAAAATCATGATTCACATATTCACCCAAAAAAAATCAGGATTCACGCAATGCATGTACCCAATCATGAATAAATACAACTTTTTAAATAATTAATGCACCATCCGGGTTAGATCTTGCAGGCAGGTGTGTCGGAGAAAATAATGTTTGGATTTAGCATAAGAACGCGACAGAATGCTACAAATTCTCCAAGTGCCGTTGGTACTCCTAAAACCGTCGGTCTAGGTTCTCCAAAAACCACAGAGACTCCAAGAAGCCTAAGCTCTCCACGAGCAGATGTGGGAGAGATTGATACCAGAGCGCCATTTCAATCTGTCAAGGCCGCCGTTAGTTTGTTTGGTGAAGTTGCCTCCCCTAAGGCAGCACCACCCCCGGTCGTTAAGAAGTTCAAAACTGCTGAAGAGGTTTGTACTTCTCTTCTTCTAGAACATAATTTTAATTACATGATTAATTAAGAGAATTAGACCACAACCTCATTATTGGGATGCAAAGATATGTTTTACGCTCCATTTTATTTTGATGTAAAACGTTGGAAAATGTTTTTCTATGTTTGGTTGCAATTTTGAAAACGATGTGCTTAATAATATTGTATTATTGGTGGTCTTGGTGTGGAGGCGATGGTGATAGTAGCGGTGACAATGTTGGTGGTAAGGTTGTGGTGGCGGTAGTGCGGCAATTGTAGTATGGTGGTGTTGATAGGAGTGTAGTTGGGAAAACGTTTTGCATATTTCAAAAATGAAAAACATTTTTAAACCCAAATAAGTTTGTTTTTCCGTTGATCGTAGAAATTTTTCGTTGCACCAAATGTCTGAAAATATGGAAAATATTTTTTAAAAAATAATTTTTCCTGAAACAAAGTGGAGCGTTTAATCATCAATAATACTTCATGAGTACATCACCTCAATCAATGACATTAGTTGTTTGTTCCCACTATCGTAAATAATACATGGTTGATAGTATTCATTAAGGATCATCTGTTTTCAAATTTTGTACTCTTGTATCTAATGCACTTTCACGCCGTGCACGAGACATGATCGTACTCTCAGAAATGAATGCATTGGGAACATGGGACACAATGTTAGCAAGGGAGGATCATGTACCAACACTATTTTGGTCAATCAAAAATCGAAAAGTATTTATCTAATTGCAACTTTCATGTGGTTAAAACCTGCCTCATCTTGAAAGTAATATGTGCTCAAATTGTTTTGCCACAGAGAGTATTGGAGAAGGAAACACAGCTTCACTTGACCCTTAAAGAACTGGACTACTTCAAACAACTGTTGAGAAGTGCAGACGCTACGAAAATCCAAGCACAACGGGAACTCGTAAAGGCCAACAGAACGCTGCAGGAACTGACAGGCAAACTAGAAATTGCTAGCGAATCCAAGCAGGCAGCAATTGCAGGGACAGAAGCTGCAAAGAATAGAGCTAAACAGCTCGAAGAAGTAGCCAAAACCAGCAAAGCTCAAATAGATGTTGATTCTTGGAAACAAGATGTGGATAGCGAAAGAGAACAGTACAAGGCCTCTGCTGCTGAACTCATTGCTGCAAAACAAGAGCTGACAAGCATTCGACAGGATTTTGATAAAGCTTTGGAAATCAAACTCGCCTCGTTCCAAGAGGGAGCAGATGCACAGCACGCGACAAAGGTCTACAAAAGATCGGTTCAAAACGAGCTTTCAAAGGAAATAGCAACGATGCGTGAAACGCTTAGTCAAGTCAAGGTTGCGACTCGGCAAGCCCAAGAAGAGCAAGCCAAGAGTATATCAGATAAAGAAGCTTGTCTTCAATCCCACAGAACAGCCATGGCAGAAGTGGAGAGGAAAATCTTGTGGTTAAAGGAAGAAGAATTTGAATTCGAACTCTCTGGAAATCTTGAGGAGAAGCTCGAAGAAACAACCGAGGCAATTCAAGTCTTACGAGAACAGTTGACCAATGTCCGTGAGTCAGATCTGGAATCTATAAGAGCTGTTAATTCAGAGCTTGAGGATGCTAAAAATGCACTGGAAACAGTTTTACGAGAAGAAAGATCACTCCGAAGCTTGGTTGATTCACTGCAGCGAGAACTGGGTGAGGTGAGGAGGGACCTCCTTGAAATGAAGCGGAACGAGGCGCAATCAGAATCTGCTGCCGAGAACCTGCGAGTTGAACTAGAAACGAGCAAGGTGGAGCTTCAAGAAGCTCTTGCAGCAGAAAGAAAACGAGGAAATAATTGCGACGATATGTGCTTAACTATTCAACAGTTATTGTCAGAAACTGAAAATGCAAGACGGGAAGCAGAAGAGAAGAAGAAAAGTACTGAAGAACTGAAACAAGAAGCCGAAATTGCTCGAAATGCAGCTGAGGAAATAGAGAAAGAGTTACAAGTTGCACTGAAAGAGGCTGAAGAAGCAAAAGCAATGGCAAAACTGGCCAGTGATCAGATTCACACATCTTCATGTTCCGATGATGCTCATGCTAGAAAATCAGACTCCAAGGACAAGATCAAACTGTCGGTTGAAGACTACAAATCATTGAGCAGGAAAGCCAAGGACTCTGAGAATTTGGCAGAAGAAAAAGTGGAAGAGGCCATGGCTGAGGTGGAAGCAAGTAATGCAAGAGAAAAAGAGACGGTGAAGAGGTTGGAAGAAAGTTTGAAAGAGATGGAGAACATCAAGGCCGCAACTGAGGAGGCATTGAAGAAAGCGGAGATGGATGACACAGCGAAACAAGTAGTGGAGGGCGAACTACAGAAGTGGCGCCAACATACACAACAGAACGAAGTTGGAGAAACTTCCAATAGTCGGGAAGAATCAGAGGTGTAATCAGATTTGCTATTCTAGCTAGGTTTTCAACAAAAACCTATCATGTAAGCCAGGTTTCAAACATACAATGAAGTCAAAACAAATGCCCAACAATGCATATCCAGATCTTGTAGGACATGAAATAACTTAAATCTGCATATTTGTGGGACATTATACAAATAATATTTATCCTTAAGTTATGAAAAACACATCCTCTGGGCTGCAGCAGCATATTCACAGCAAAAGAGAAAAGGTGCTCACACATGACATGGATAAACTGTAATTTAAGCATAAATTTGCATTAGAAGCTTGCATGGCTTAACTATACCATACAATAAAAGCATAAATTTCTCTATACAAATGACATAAGCCACTAAGGACATGTTTGATTGACAGGATTAGAATATGAAATTGAAATTATTAAACCGTGAACCCAATAATTATGTGTTTATTTTGAAATTTTATTTTAGAATTATTAAACCAATAGATAATTAATCTAACAAATTTGTAAAATTATTAGTAACGGGATAAGGGTGAAATTATATATCCTGAGTTGAGAAATAAAATAAAAAAACTCTTTTACCCTTGATTAAAAATTAAAACACTACTATTTTTATATAATTTTATATTTTAGAAGGCTATAAATATTTTTGAAAGTCTAAAAATATTTTTTGATATTTATTTTATCATATTAGTGTATATTTTTTAAAAAAAAAAATTAAAAAACAAACCAAACATGGCTTTTGTATTTTGTATTTTTTATTTTTATTTTTATTTTTATTTTGTTTTTATTTATTTATTTATAATTTTTTTCAAAACCGCGTTTATGAAGAAATTTTAATAAAGTAAAGATTTTAAAAAAACATTGATGAAGGGTAAGATTGAAAAAGAAAATAAATATAGTTGTAATCTTACATTTATATATTTTCTTATCCAATGCAAATCAAACAATGGATAAGTGGATAATTTATCCTACTAATCCAATTAGATAATGAATACCACACTAATTTGATAGGATTATTAATACTTTCACTATTAATCTTGTGAATCAAACATGCTTTAAGTTACAATTATCACATTCCTTTGTTGTTTTCTTCGTACATTTTATGCTGGAAACCGAATGAAACTGATTATCCAGCTAACATGTCCAGTTTACATACCTCATATTAGCTTTTCTGGTAAGATCACTTAGAACTAATGCAGGAACTACTCCATTAACTGGTTGCACATTCAACTGACAAGGACCACCAAATCACATATACAACCCAACAGATGGTAAGAAGGGACTGTGCATCTGGTGTTGCAACTCCTCACCATGAGAGGCACTACGTTCCCTACTTTTGGTCATCATTGATTTTTAGGTCACCTAGTGACCCATGAAGCCCATCCCTATTATCTAAATGCAGTAGCTCAGCTTCAAGTGTTTTGGCAATATCCACTTCTTCCACAGCCAAATCTGGGTGGCCGACATGAGCAGATCCCTGCTTGATTGGTCCACCAGGTCCACGGATTGAGTGTTGTTGCTTGATGTAGTTGTAGAGGGCTTGGTGAAATGGATGATCCAAGGAATAGCAATTGTCGGTTGCATTCTGTGAATGTTTGGAAGATCCAGAGCCTTCTCTTCGGCAAAAATGTGGGAGGGACGCATAGTCCATTATCTGTGGAAAAATAAAATTCAAATGCAACAAGATCAAGGCAGTTGTTAGAAAGGAAACAAAATGTTGGTGCCAGTGGTTACGAGTTGAATGCATTTCAATGACTCTTTCCTGCTTGCATAAAGATTAGAATTTTTCAATAGTATACTCTCACAGTCATCGATATAAACATCACAATAAGGCTATATTTGATAACTTTGATAAAAGGGGTGGGACGTGACTATTTCATCCTAGGATAAAATTATCTTGTGTTTGGTTTAGATTTTGTGACCCAGGATAACTTATCCCAATGGCCCTTTCATCCCACATATGCGGGCATTATTTTGTCCTGGAGGGAGGTGAGAGAACTTATCCAAGGACAATATTCTCATTACAAAATGAATAAAATAGACTCGTTGGGATAACTTGTCCAACCTAATCCCATCCATGAATTGAACATGGCCTGAGGCCATTCATCTTGATGTGAAAAGTGCAAGCCATCTGACATCTAAGACAGTAAAATTTCTGGAAATAAAATAATAATAAAAAAGAAAAAAGTTCACTACCAAAAGATAAATGAGAAATTGTCTTACCTTCAACAGATCATCTTGTCCACTACCTGATAATACCTGGATTTTTTTTCTTGTCCTCTCATGCAAAAGTGGCTTCACAACCTGCTAAGAGTTCAGGGTTTACAGTGGCGCGCACACACAAAAAACTATTTCTACAATAAAAGAAGACAATTTACTCAAATAATGTTAAGGTATCTTTTGTTGTTGAACTTGTAGTGATCTGTTGGGTATAAATTCTAATAATATATATATATATATATATGCATATTTTTTAAATATAGAGCACGAGGAATAAAAATTGGGAGGCAAACCTTCCAACAAGCTGAAAATATGTATGGAGCATTGACAATATAGTATGTAAGCGTCTTCTCTGGGTAATTCAGATCATCAATGGTCGAAATAATTGACAATAACTGCATGAACACGCCATTAATATCAATGAAATTTACACAATATAATAACCACAATCAAATTTATCCTCAGTTTGTTTGTTTTTTTTTTTTTTTTTTTTTCTTCTCAGATGGAAATCTATCTTTAGTTGAGGACCATTACAATATGACAAGTCCATAACTTGCAATGATTATTAAGCAAGCAGATACTTTCCAACACTAAACGAACAAAGACGGAGATGCACAAAGGAAAAATAAATAAGTAACAATTTTTACAATACCAGGATATACCTTAATTTGGCTCAATGCTGAAAGCTTCAAACCAGTCATATCTAAGACCTTCAAACACTTACTAATATGCCTCCCATACTTTTTTGTGGCAGAAGGCTACAATAGAATGTATAGATCAAAACAATTGAGTAAGGTAAATAAAATAGATTAAAACTTAGAAGAGTTCGTGCTCTAATACACACCAAAATTACACAATCCCGATATTCATTGATCTGAATGTGTGACTGAACATAGTAATGGACCTGGAAATTCAGGAAAATACATGTAGATTACACAAATGGAGTTAATTCACACCATGAGAAGAAGGGGAAAAAAAAAAAAAACCTTGATTATAAAATTCCCCCTCCAAAGGAAAAGGGGACAAAAAAAGAGAGAAGAAACGAAAAGTAGTGGTAATGGAATACACCAGCACAGAGATAAGGGTTTGCCTGAATGAAATATGAAAAGGTAATTTTTTGTGTAAAAAGGCCTATTCATCTATTAGAAAATCATTATTGTTTCGCATCCATTAAGGTTCTCTGGCCGATATAATGCACAAAGAGTAATGAGTTAATAACATGATTCCTTGACATACCATTATCGAACCAAATAACATAGCTAAAAATTTATCTTCTCATATAAGCTACCTATCTCTCCATCAGCTTGATGGATTAAATCTATTAATTACTAAAGATAATATGCCTTTGATAAATGTAAATGCTACACTCAATCATGGACTACTGCCTCCCAAAAAGTGCCTTTCTTTGGAAAGAAAATTAGTAATTGAAAGGAACTGCATAAAAATTATACTATTGTAAACCGTATTGTTATTCCCATTTCGTTGTGTAACACCTGAATCCATACCATGTTTGCAACCCTCAACTAGTCTCACCATGAGTCTGAAAGTTGCTTCTCCAAAACTGCGAGATAAATATAACAACTCATACTATTAAAGGGAATTTAGAAATGCCATAGTCCTTACAGATGCTTTGTCAAGCGTACTGAGCCCTACACCAATAGCAAACACGGGAAGGCCCTGTCACAGAGGAAGCCATTAATTGTGAGTGCACGAGGAGGTGTGGAAGTGGCATCATTTTGATGTTTATAAAGAAGCACGGATACAGACACAGACACGCTGACATAAAAAGTTTCAAAAAATGTAGGATATGACATGTGGTGGATACAAAAAATATGATTTTATATATTTATTATACCATATATAAGAACAAGCAATTGTTATATGTCATCTATATGAATATTTAATTAAAGATAATAAGAAAATGCAATATAACACTGATTTCTAAAGTAGAAGAATATGCATAAATTTACATTTTTTTTTTCTTTTATCATTGAATTTCAAGTTATTATATGAATATATAAGTGTTAGTGTTGAGAAGTGTCCAATGAGTGTTGTGTTGTGTTGGTGTTCAACACAACACACTACCTTCTTAGAAGTGTCAGTGCTTCTTATCACTCAATGAAGCCAGATATGGTGCATTCAGAAACATAATGCCGAAATGACTAACTGGATAAAGATTAAGCACCTCTCTAGAGTAACCTGACAACCCTATGAGCTGTGAATCGCGTACTGCTCTGTATAAATCAGTAGGAACTATTGGTTTCTGTACATAGAAGAAGCAGAAAGATTAGAATGTAGTGAGTTATTGACTAACAAATTAATCAGGATACAGTCTCTTTCAGCAACAAATTGCCAAAAAAAATGAAAAGACAAAGCCTATGATCCATAACATCATTATCATGCAACTGAAACAGCGGAAAGAGCATGGTCATGTTTAGTTTGGAGAGGGAGATAGAGATGTCTTCTTATTAAGGTGTTGTAATATTATTTCTCAAATATTAGGACAAAAAGTTATCTATCTCATGGCAGCAGCATCAATAAAAAAATAAAAAAACCCACTGGCTTCATAATCTTATTTATCATGATATAGTTCTGTTTCATCAAATAACCCATTCCAAACTAGGTCAATTGCAGAAACTTTAGAAATCGAATACGTAAAGATTCATAAAGTGGACTCTAAACAGATTTCGTAGAGGACTAAGCCAAAGCGTTATAAGCTAATATAGCTAGAACTCGAAACACTGGCATTGCATCTAAGGGTAAAGATGCAGCTAGAATTTTGATTCTTACTAATGAGAAAAAAAACAAAAAAAAAAAAAAAAATGCAAGCCATTGAATGTTAAGCAATAGAACACAAGTCCCATAATGTGACCATCAATATTCCCAATCTAGTTGACCGTGAAGTTATAATTTTTTAGGTACAAATCCTGAAATTATAGAGGGTCTTGTTCTAAAGAAGATGGACATGGATATGGACACGTGACACAATACTGACACGATATGGACACGTCGACATCCAAATTCTCAAAATATGTAGGACACACCATGTGGGGGTCACATGCAACATATATAATTTTTTACATATTTATTATATGTCATATATAAAGATAAATAAGTATTATCATACAAATTATTCTCTCTCTTTCTCTATACATTATTTCTTACAAATTTTTTACATATTTATTATATGTCATATATAAAGATAAATAAGTATTATATAGCATATATATGAATATTGAAGTCAAAGATAATAAATTTTTAAAGTCTATAGGAGGAGAATATATATAAATTTGTATTGTTTTTGTTTTATCATTAGATTCTAAGTTATTTTGCTTAAACTTGTAATGTGTCTGTGTCTAAGTACTGGGAAATGTCCGATGAGTGTCGTGTCATGCGGTGTTGTACACGACGTTACCTTCATAGAAGTGTCGTGTGTGCCCTTATGTTTAGTTGGTTTTAAAATATTGTATATTATTTATTGCACCCATTTTTATGCAGAATGTAAAATCTTTTTAAATTTCTTAACATGTACATTAAGAGCACGCATTAACATAATCCAATTACAAATGCAGTCACACAAAATGATCTAAAATATCTACCATGTAATTATTGATTTAAATAATAAATTATTGCCAGAACCACCATCATTTGTATACTACATTAATTGCTACATTTAAGCTTAAAATCATGTTGTTTATAGCATGTAATTATTTTAAGAAGTTTACACTAATCTCTATATGTGAAGTCTATGCCTCAATTTAGAAATAAAAAAAATACGGAAAAGAGAAGAGAAATCGGAGTTTCAGTCATAACATCTATACTCATACACAAGCATCAAACTAATCATTTGTCTACGGCCTGTTTAGCTTTTACACAATGCAGCTTTTGAGGTGAACTTTGAACTTACCGCTAACATATTTTCAATTTCACTTTCAACCCTCCACTTTAAACTATCCACCAACTGAAACATTATACAAGCAACACAATTAATTTAAAAAGATAACGTAATTGAAATGCCTCCTTCCCCTAACACGAGGACAAATTTGAAAATTAAAAATAAAAATAAAATAAAATAAAAAATCAACCAGAAAGAAATGGATCTAACCATTTTGTGGGCCTTGGTAACATTCCCCTCTCTTGCTTTGAGGAAACGAGCCAAAGTTTCAGTCGGGTATCCCTGATGAATATGCTGCAACCGAAATGCAATCTTTGAATGAAATTTCATACAACCAGCTCCAGAGATCAATACAATATTTTAATTGAAAATGTAAGAACAAATCCAAAATGAAGCAACGCTACACACAAAGCAAGATTTCTTTAGATTTTAACAGTAGAAACTCAAGCTTTGATAAGCTACGTCAAATAAGCCTTGCTGAGAGATTTGAAAAATAGAGTCCAACAGATCCAGTAAACGTGTGACTACGGTTTGACCAACGGGCCGTCAGTTTTATTGAGTACATCATCTCTCACTAAGGGGTTGTTTGGGATAAACTAAATAAGTGTACTTTTTGACTTTTTATGAAATAGGGATTGGATTTGAAGTGATGTGGTAGAGAGGTGATGTGACTTAAATAGGATAGTGACTTTTTGACTTTTTAACTTTTTTAGGTTATGCCAAACCAAGCCTAAATCTAGTCTTCAATACCCATATGAAAGGCTTCAATAAGTAATATCAAGGAACAGACTTTACTACTTCTAATTGCACTTAGCTGTGTTTGGTTCATAAATTTGGTAAGAAATTTGAAAAGGGAATGGGAAAAGGTGAATGAAATATAGTTATACTTCATTTACACTTCACTTACTTTTTTTATTAGTCTTTCCAAATCCGTACGCAAATCATAAACCAACAATTTGTTGGGTACACCTCCTTAGTGGAGTAAGAGACCTAATTGATTTATTAAAAATATTTAATTTGGTTTGGTATTGGTTGTAATATATTTTTAATATATTATATCTAATTTTTGGAGGCCCAATAGGTATTTTATAATCAGTTTGGTAGCAATTAAGGTTTTGACAAAAAGCCCAAGAGTTCACAATATATTTGGTATTGTTTTTGTTTCTCCGTGGTGGAGCAGCCGTGATTGTCATTATTGTAGTAGAAATTGTGCTTGCTGCTAAAGTTAATGTCGGTGGGTTTGACTTGGTGGAGTTGTAGCTGTTGTCTCTGATTCGGCTGAGTTTGGGTCTATTATTTTGGGTCTTCTACAACTCTGTTTCGAAAACTTTTATTCATCTATTTGGTGAAATCTTTCCTTTTGATTATTTGTGATTATTTAAAATTCACCTAAACGTGGTTTTGTGAAACCATTAGTGTCTCGTTTGTAATCGTTTGAAAATTTTTGGTTAATAGTGGAATCGGATTTCGATCCCGTGGACGTACCTCACATTGAGGGAACCACGTAAAAATTCTTATGTCGTTGTTAATTTAATTTTTCCGCATTAATTTTTATTTTCATTTATTGATTTACTTGTGAGAAATCATATATTTTCCCTAACAACTAGTATCAGAGCTTATGATTTATTTGGGTTTATTTATTTTTATAAATCAATGGAGGGGAATGTGGGTCGTATGTCTAACTTCAATGGAAGCAATTAAGTAATTTGGAAAACAAAAATAGATGACTTATTATTTTGTAAAGATTTGTATGGACCTATTGAGGGTAATAGTGGCAAACCCGAAGGTATGAAAAATGATGAATGGAAGAAGCTTAACCGAAAAGCCGTTAGTGTTATTTGTCAATGGATTGATGACAGTGCGTTTCATCATGTTGCTACTAAAACTTCAACACATGATTTATGAAAAAAATTAGGCGGCCTTTATGATAGAAAATCAACCACAAATAAAATTTTTCTGTTTTGAAAGTTAGTTAATTTAAAATATAAAGATGGCTGCCCAATCCCAAAACATTTGAATAAAATAAAGAGTATTGTTAACTAACTTACTTCTACGAAAATTATTTTTGATGATGAGTTGCAGGCTTTGATGCTACTTAGTTCTTTTTTCGAAAGTTGGGAGACTTTGGTTGTGACGGTTACTAATTCGGCGCCCGATGAAGTTGTCACAATCAGTTAAGTCACTAGTAGTTTGTTGAATAAAGAAACTAAAAGAAAATTAACGGGTTATTCTCATTCGGAGGCATTTGTTGTAAGAGACCGAAGCAAAACAAGGGGGAGAAGGAAGACTCCTCATAATCGTGATCATGGTCATGATGAAAGTCGTGACAAATCAAGAGATGGTTCTTTTTATGAGAAAGGGCACACGAAGCGAGTATGTCAAAAGCTCAAGAACAAAGAGAAAAGGCGTGACAACAGTGTGGATAAGAAGCAAGAAGACACAACGGCGGTTACTACCGATGGTTATCTCATGGTCGTTTGCAAAAATGATTGTGTCAATTTTGTAGGTCAAGAGAACAATTTGGTGATTGATTCCGATGTTTCTTTTCATTTGATTTTTTTACTACCTACACCAAAGGAGATTATGGGTGTATTTGAATGGGTAATGAAGGTTTGTCCAAGATTGTTGGCATGGGTGATGTTTGCTTAGAAACAAATTTGGACTGCAAGTTGTTGCTTAAAGATGTGAGACATGTTCTAGAAATTCGCCTCAATTTGATTTCTACTCGGAAACTAGATGCCGAATGCTACAACAACAAATTTGGTGATGGAAAAAAGAAACTCATAAAGGGTTCCTTGGTGGCGGCTAAGTGCAAGAAAATTCGTACACTTTATTCGATGAAAGGAAAAATTTGCAAAGATGTTGTCAATGCACTTGAAGATGATACTTCTACCGAATTGTGACACAAGCGGCTTGGCCATATGAGTGAAAAAGAGCTACAAGTTTTGTTCAAGAAAGAGCTTCTACCCGGTTTGAAAGGTACGCACGAGATTTTAAAAAACGGCCGCAACCATTACGTAATGCCGTTATGTAACAGTTATGGTGGTTACCGTTACCCGTTACGGCCTCTATAACGGTGACGGAAATTTACATGTGTAACGGTTGTTTCGGTATTACATAACGGCCATAGCAATATCGTAACGGCCGTAATGGCCCGTTAGACACCGTTACACCCTTTACAATATCCTCAATAGCTTCCTTTTTCAAAAAAACAAAACAAAACAAAAGTTTACAAAAAAATAATAAATACTCAAGTGATCCAAGCCCAAAGAAAAAATCTTATATTAATTTTTTTTCTTTATAATTTTTTTTTAAAATTTATGTCACAATTTTCATTTTATAATCCTTTCATTTAATAATTGCGAATATTTTTCATTCAGTTAGTTCAGATATTGGTAAAAAATAATTTGTAGACATTTAAAATCAATTATTCTTAAAATCACTAACTATTGAAATAAAATGTAAAAGGCTCCTTTTATAGTGATTTGAAAATATGAAATATATTGGATCATACTTAAAAATTAACAAAAATTGATCAAAATTTATTTTAAATCCCAATAAATGTGATTCTGAAAAAAAAAAAAAAAAAAAAAAAAAACAACAATATGCGTATCAGTAAGTTTTCTTCAAATTGTACGAAAAATTAAAAAAATCACGGTTCCGGTTACCGCAACCATTACACTACGGCCTTTACACCCCACAACCGCAACCGCTATCGCGTCACTACAACCGTTATGACGACCGCAACCGCTTTTCAAAACCTTGGGTATGCATATTAAAACTTGTGTTCATTGCTTGACGGCCAAACAACATAGAGTTTCTTTTCATAAAAATGTTGCTTCTAGAAAAGAAAACGTTTTGAAGTTGATTCATTTAAATATTTGTGGTCCTTTAAAAGTTAGAACACATAGTGGTGCACTTTATTTTGTTACTTTCATTGATGATTATTCAAGAAAAATTTGGACTTTTGTACTAAAATTAAAGATTAAGTTCTAGATGTGTTTAAACATTTTCAGGCCATGGTTGAAAGAGAAACAAGGCAAAAATTGAAATGCATTCGAACAGACAATGGTGGTGAATACATTGGGCCATTTGATGAGTATTGTCGCAGTCAAGGTATTCGGCATTAAAAGACAGTTAAGAAGACTCCTCAACAAAATGACGTTGCCAAGAAAATGAACCGCACCATTGTGGAAAGAACAAGGTGTCTTCTTTCATATGCTAAATTGCCAAGATCCTTTTGGGGTAAGGCAATGAGGACAGCGATTGACGTAATCAATTTGTTTCCTTTCTATCCTTTGAATGGTAATATTCCCGAAAAAATTTGGACCAGTAAAGATGTGTCTTATGAGCACTTTAGAATGTTCGGTTGCCAAACTTTTGTTCACATTCTAAAAGATGAGAGGTCCAAGCTTGATAACAAGTCAAGACAATGCATTTTTCTTGGCTATAGGTGTGATGAGTTTGGTTATAGATTGTGGGATACGGTCGACAAGAAAGTTATTCGAAGCCGTGATGTGTTTCTTGACGACCAAACAATTAAAGACTTTGGCAAAGGTGATCAACTAGAGCCAAAAACTAATGATCTCATTGATATGGATCCATCTCCTTCATCTTCAGTTAATGATGAAAATAGGGGAGATGTACAACCAGCTATTGAAGATGTGGAGGATGATGCTAATCATAATGAAGTTGAGCTCAAAATTGAGGAAAAGCATCCAACTCAAGAACCGCCACCACAACTTGAGTTGAGAAAATCTACAGGGGACCGACAACCTTCTAAAAAGTATCCTCCCAATGAGTTTGTATTGATATCCGATCAAGGGGAGCTCGAGAGCTACCAAGAAGCAATTGAGCATGAAAGAAAGGTGATTGGAAAAAGGTAATGAAAGAAGAAATGAATTCCTTACTTGAAAATCACACTTATGATTTGGTGAAATTGCCTAAGGGAGGAAAATTTTGAAAAATAAGTGGATCTTCAAATTGAAGAATGATAGCAAGAATCTAAGGTACAAGGCACGCCTTGTTGTAAAAGGCTAGGTGTTGACTTTGATAAAATTTTCTCGCCGGTTGTGAAAATGTCTTCTATTCGGGTTGTACTTAACATGGCTGCAAGTATGAACTTTGAAGTTGAACAACTTAATATGAAAATTTAAATGGAGCAACCGGAGGGTTTTGTGAAAAAAGGGGAAGAGAAATTTGTTTGCAAATTGAAGAAAAGTTTGTATGACCTTAAGCAAGTGCCGCGGTAATGGTACAAAAAATTTGACTCTTTCATAATGAAAAATGATTTTTCTAAAACCACTTCGGATCATTGTGTGTTTGTGAAAATTTTTCTAGATGACAAATTTATTATTCTTTTGTTTTATGTTAATGACATGTTAATTATGGGTGAAGATTCTACCATGATTAACAAATTGAAGTTGGAGTTGAGCAAGTTTTTTGCTATGAAAGATTTGAGACGGGCAAAACAAATACTTGGTATGAAATTGTTCGTGATCGCAAAAAAGGGCTGATTTGGTTGCCTCAAGAAAGTTACATTGCGAAAGTTCTTGAGAGGTTCAACATAGATAAAGCAAAGTTGGTTGGTTATCCACTTGTGGGTCGCTTTAAGCTTAGTTCAAATCAATGCCCTACAAGTGAGAAAGACAAGGGAGAGATGTTGAAAATTCCTTATGCTTTAGCGGTTGGTTCTTTGATGTACGTCATAATTTGTACAAGGCCGGATATTGCTCACGCTGTTAGTGTGGTGAGTCGGTTTCTCTCTAATCCGGGTAAAGAACATTCGGCAGTGGTGAAATAAATTCTAAGGTATCTTCGAGAGACTTCGAAGGTGTGTTTGTGTTTCGAGAATGGTAAGCCGGTGCTTAATGGGTTCACAGATTCCGACATGACTGATGATGTTGATTCTAAGAAATCTACTTTGGGATATTTAATGATTTTTGCAGGGAAGTTGTGGCATAGCAATCCAAATTACAAAAATGTGTTCCTCTCTCAACTACCGAAGCTGAATTTACCACCATTACGGAAGCTTACAAGGAAAAGTTATGATTGAAGAAATTTTTTCAAGAATTGGATTTGAAGCAAGAAAAGTATGTGTTTTACTGTGATAGTCAAAGTGCTATTCATTTGAGTAAAAATTTTACTTTTCATTCGAGATCAATACACAATGATGTGAGATACCATTGGATTTGTGATGTGTTAGATTCAAATTGTTGCAACTCGAAAAGGTACACACATATGATAATATTTAGTAAGACTTTGTCGAGGGATAAACATTTAAAGCGTCAAACTTTGACGGGTATGGTTGATATCTCCACTTAAGTCGGTAGGGGGAGAATTGTTGGGTATACCTCTTTAGTGGATTATGGAACCCAATTAGTTTATTAAAAATATTTAATTTGATTTGGTGTTGGTTATAATATATTTTTAATATATTATATCTAGCTTTTGGAAACCCAATTGGTATTTTATAATCAGTTTGATAGCAACTAAGGTTTTGATAAAAAAAAAAACACAATAGTTCACAATATAATTGGTATTGTTTTTGTTTCTCCGTGGTGGAGCAGCTGTGATTATCATTATTGTAGTAGAAATTGTGCTTACTGCTAAAGTTAATGCCGGTGGGTTTGATTTAGTGGAGTTGCAGCTGTTGTCTCTAATTCGGCTGATTTAAGTCTATTATTTTGGGTCTTCTATAACTCTATTTCGAAGACTTTTGTTCATTTATTTGGTAAGGTCTTTCCCCGTAATTATTTGTGATTATTTGAAATGCACCAAAGAGTGGTTTTATGAGACCATTTGTATCTCGTTTGTAACCGTTTGAAAACTTTTGATTGATTCTATCCCATGGACGTACCTCACATTGAGTAAATCACGTAAAAATTCTTGTGTTGCTGATGATTTAATTTTTCTACATTAATTTTTATTTACATTTATTGATTTCCTTATGGGAAATAATATATTTTCCCTGCACAATCTACACAATCAAGATTCTCACATAGACAACACTCAAACAGAATAACCTAAAATATGAAACGAATTGTCTAAAAGAAAATCGAGGAAAGGAAAAGAAAGTGTAGAAATTTTCTAAAAATGAATCACATCAATAACCATGGAAAAGAAAATAATTAGACCCTTTTTCAGTGGTGTACATTTTCTTGTCCCACAAATTTAAAAAGAAAAAGAAAGATTTTTAGGATCGTTATCTTGATTCTGTTCCAGAATTTTCTTGGAAATGAAAGATTCACAAGGGATCTGAGCAGAAAATTTGACGTGGGACTACCTAAACACACGACACAAGCCTATTCGGGTTTGGGACAGCACGCTAAGCAAAAATAAATAAAATAAAATCAGTAAAATAGAAAAGACTGAGCAAAGGCACAACAAAATTCTGAATCTACATGGAATCGAAAATACAAAAAATTGACCACCGTTGACAAACAAAGCAAACATATTTATAAATAATAAAAAATTAAAAAAAAAAAGGAAAAGAACATAAAGAAGAAAAATGCGAACCTGGAAAGCCTTTTTCAGTGGTTCTTCAGCTGTTCGAATTCCCCAAAGTAAAAAAAAAAATTAAAAAAAAAATAAAATAAAATGAGAAACTGAGAGTGAATGTAACATTCTATTAGGAGAGAGAGAGAGAGAGAGAGAGACCTTGGTCCATCAATGCTTTGAACTGATCGATTGCTTCTTGAGTTACGGTTCCCATTGCTCTTGTCTCTCATCAAATGTACACAATGATCGAATTTACCACTTTCTCCCCTTCACTTTTGTTGGTCTCTCTCTGGATTTCAGAGAGAGAGAATGAAAGAAGAAAAACAGACAGAGAGGAGGAGGAGAGAGAAAGAAATTGGAGATTCCTATTTAGTTAGGAGACAGTGCATAGTGAGGGGTCAAGATTCAACCGAGGCATTACTTTCCTCTCTCTTTCTCTGTCACTTTCTTTTTTTTTTTTTTTTCTTTCTCCCACCCTTTGTCTTTTTGTTCCGGGCAAATTACAAACATCCCCTCAAAATTTGATAAAAATACAAATTTTTCTTTAAAGTTTAAAAAATTACAAATTATCCCCTGATATTTATCTTTTCATAACAAATTATTCCCTAAAGTTTTTATTTTCATATAAATTCCTTCCTAATTTGTTATACAAATTTGACCTTTAAAAAGTAATTTATAATTTCTCAAATCTCAAGAGAATCTATATTTTCACCAAACTTCGAGGGGTGTTTGTAATTTGCCTTTTTTTTATTTTAAATTATTTTTTTTAGTTTTTCTCAACCTTTACTTTTTCCAAAATCTATTTAGCACTCCAAAGTCATAATATTACATATATGCACATAATATTTCCAATAATGTGGCTTAAATAAATTAATTAATAAATGAGATGATCTTACTTCTGATTTGGTGAGTGTGCTCATGTGCATGCTACTATTCATCAATAATGCTAAATTTAAAATAAATAAAAAAATTTGTGTAAATAATGGATTTTAGCTGTGGCTTATCTGATCAAAATAAGCGAGGTCAATTTTATTTATTTTTTATTAAGATTTCATTTGAGAGTTAGTTAAAATTTTAATTTATTAACCAAAAAAAAAAAAAGTCAACAAAAAAAATTAATACTGAAAAGCTCAGTGCTTGATTTAGTTTTTAGAATTTTTTTTTTTTGTAAAAATTAAATTCTAGTTTGCTTTCTAAAAATAAATACCAAAAGAAAATTTTTAAATTTTAAAAAATTATTTTTGCTTTCTAGCTCAGTGCTTGATTTAGTTTTTAGAATTTTTTTTTTTGTAAAAATTAAATTCTAGTTTGCTTTCTAAAAATAAATACCAAAAGAAAATTTTTAAATTTTTAAAAATTATTTTTGCTTTCTAATGAAAATAATAAATTTTTTTTACCAAATTAATTTTGAAGATTTTTAAATGACATTTTAATTACAACCAAATGGTGCATAATAACTCTTATAGTAATTCCGATAACATATCAACGTGCTAACTGGTTAATAAAATACTTAGGTGTCGTTTGGGAAGTTGATTGAGTTTTTGAGTTTTTGGTTTTTTTGGTTATTTTAGCTTGAGACTAAAAAGTTTGGTTCGAGAAGAACTTTTGGCTTTTTTGACTTTTTTGTGAGAGAAAAAATGTAATGAGTATGGGTTGAATGTGATATTTTATCTTATTGAGCTAAAAAGCCTATTTTATTTTTTGTAACTATTTTAGCCAAAAAAAAAAGCCCCAAAAATCTCTTCCCAAACAAAGGCTTAAGATAACCTTTAGTTTTAATTAAAAAGTTAAAAAGTCACTATAATTTATCAAATCAGTTTCTTTATTTTTCTGCACATATTTTCATGAAAAACTAGAAACTTACTAAAATAAAAACGATGGCTCAAATCTTTTCTATCATATGAATAATCTCTTGGATTTGGAATTGTAATTGTAAATGTGCGTCTCTCATCTCAACCACTTTTCACTTTCTAAATGGAGACACAACACAACTAACATTGATCAATTTTTTTTTACTTCAAAAAGCGGGGACATGAAGTATTTCTACTGTATGATAATGAAATGAAAAAATTTGTGAAATATCTATTTCTAAGTTTGGATAGTAAGAGAAGTTTAATATATTTTTTTATTATTAATTAAAGTCTTTTAATAATATTATTAAAAAAATCAGCTCGTCAAAAAAACAATTCTTTGTGAAGATTTAAAATTTCTTTTTGAAAAGTTGAAATTTTCTATATAAAAAAAGAAATTTCTCTATAAAAATATTGAGAAACACTAATTACTATAAAAATGATACATATTCTTTATCTTATAAAATTCTAATATAAAGAATCTTAAACTAAAAATCTCTAATGAAATAATTCACATTATTAGAAATATATTAATAAATTTGTGAACGTACAAGCTATTGTAGATTTTCTCGTGAGAGAACAAGTCTAACTTCGCAAGTGTGGGTGTCGGTGGCTGCCCTTTCTCCGAAGGTGGGGATTCGAGCATTGTGCCGTTAAGACAAATTATATCAATATGATATTTGTCGATACAAATCATACTATATATATTGATGTCTTTCCAAGCAATAACATTATATTTTGGAGTATATTAAAAAAGTACATTTTTTATTTTTTTTTTGAGTTATATCACCTCTCTATTTTTTTGTACATTTTTTTCTTAAAAAGTCAAAAAATAAACTTATTTAGATTATTCTAAATAACCAAATATGGTGTAATAGCATGAGTTTATTTTTTTTTATTTAGTGGGGTGCAATAGCATGAGTTGTGAATATAGATAATTTTGTCAAATTATATTATTTGTTACGTTTTTCTTATTTACGATTGATTTTCCTTTGTTAGCATGTGAAGTTTCTTCCACAACATAAATTCATTAAAATGTAAAAAATTATTATTAACTTTTCCTGTTGCGTACTATTTATTACATGTCTACTTAGAAAATCACATGAGAAAATAGCTTTGACAGAAAGAAAACTTTTATGTTACAGTGAAGCGAAATATTACGGACAAGCTTAACAAAGGAAATTACTATGTAGCATTTTTGGAACTTTAATAATATCTCAACAGTATATATAGAGCGACTGCGTAAGCAACATTTGTATTTGTAACAATTCAGTTTAAGAAAATAAAAATTAATTTACAGAATCAGACACTGAATATTTATAGATGCATAAGATTTTTCAAAATAAATCTAACTTGCAAATTCCATAACATACTGGGAACTCAAGTCTAATGTGCATTTTTGAAATTTTTGGGTTAATAAGCTTAAATTTAAATCTTTTTGGGCTAAAATGACATAATTTGTCAAAAAAAAAACATATTTATTCAAAATTATATACTTATCTAAATATTCAAATGTCACTACAACAAATTATATTTTTAGCGACTAAATTTTTAGTCGCCGAAATATTTTCCCGACTAAACTTTTTGTTCGCCGGATTTGTTGTGGGGTGATTGTCAGAGAAGGAATTGGTGACTAAAAAATATTTAGTCGCCAAAAGTTCTAAATTGCAGACTAATTTTTTAGTTGCCAAAAGGAAAGTATTAGCAACAAACAAAATCTTCAGTCGTTGAAAGGCTAATTGGGGACTCATTTTTTAGTTGCCAAAAGCAAAGTATTAGCAACAAACAAAATCTTCAGTCGTTGAAAGGTTAAATTGGCGACTGATTTTTTAGGCACCAAAAGATTACAATTCAATTTAACATAACATTTTTAGCTACAAAAACTTTTGTCTCCAAAACTTAAATTAGGTAGGGTAACCAAAGTTTTAGTCACGAATTTTTTTTTTTTTTGTTGCTCATCTTACTTTTTTTAGCTACTAAATGTTTAGTCACTTAAAGTCCAATTTGTTGTTTAGCTGCTAAATAGTTTAGTCACCTAAAGTCTAATTTTTTTTTTAGCTACTAAAGTTTTAAAGGTAGGTAAAAAAAACTTGTATGTTTAGGATGACTTTTTGGCTAATTACGAAAAGATGTGCAAAAAGTAGAGAGAAAAGAGAATCTCTGACTTTTTGGTATGAGTTGTTGACTTTTTGGCTAATTTAGTAACTTTTTGACTAATTGGCTAAAAAAGTAAGTCCCCAAACGGGGCCTAAATGTTTAGTCACTTAAAGTCCAATTTATTGTTTAGCTGCTAAATAGTTTAGTCACCTAAAGTCTAATTTTTTTTTTTAGCTACTAAAGTTTTAGACGACTGTCATATAATTTTTTTGTTTTGCTACTAAATATTTAGTCACCAAAAGTGTTTCTCTTCTTTTTTTTTTTTTTGGTTACTAAATTATTACTCGTCCAAAGTCTTTTTTTTAATGGCTGCTAAATATTTTATAGCGATCCTGGTATTCCTTGTTATTGTTTAACTGAAATCCGGACTCGGTTCCGTAGATTCGTTGTTGTCTTATCCTCATTTCTATCCCTTACTCTTTGTGTTAGAGTTTTGGGTTGTGTTGGGCAAGTTGGGAATAAGTTGACTGTGTTTTAAAACTTAGAATTTTTGCCCAGGTTTTGGTCTTTACGCTCGAGCGGATATTTGACGTTCGAGCGGGTTTTTGTTGTTGCCTTTCCGCTCGAGCGGCAGTTGGAACGCTCGAGCGTGAATTTCCTTCTCTCAGCATTTTGGACGTCTGCAGAAAATTCTGGGAGAGTGCATCCGGCGCCCGAGCAGATCTTTGGACGCTCGAGCGTGAACCTGTGTCTGACGCTCGAGCGGGGTGTTGTACGCTCGAGCGGACCTGTTTTTATATCAGTCCGTGAAATCACCTTTTTGATCACTTTTTGATTTCCTTTCTCTCTCTTACTTTTTCAAAACCTCCATTGAAGAGCACCTCACTCTAAAACCCTAACTTCTCTCTTAGGTTTGATCTAGTAGGAGTTGTTTTCTCACCTTGGGCCTTTACAAAAGTTGTGTTGATCGTAGAGGGCTATCTTTTAATCTGAAAATTTCGGGATTTGGAGCATTTCCGTTTCTTCATCTCCTTCGTTGAGCCCCATCATTCGAGGTAGGGATATCCTACTCCTCTTTATGAGCTTTGTCTTTGAATTTTAGCATTTTGATATGTCGGGGGTTGTTGGGTAATTTTGAAAAAGGTTTGGGCCTTTGTGCAATTTTACAAAAGTTGGGGATTAAACATATAAACCTATATGCATGTTAGGCATAGAGAAATGAGATTAATGTTGGGACATAGATGGAAATAGAACCTTAGGGTTGTTTTGTGAATTATGGTAATTTGCCCTAATTGGTTTAATTAATTAACACATATAATTAATTGAAGAAAAAGATGAATTGAATTGAGAATGTTGAAATTGGGAATGTATGGGACTAAAGAGTGTAGTCGAGTCTTTTATTGCTCATCTAGTTGAAATGTTGATATATTATCCATTT